ATGAAATCTGCTCACCTCTTACCAACACAATACTGTGATGGAGGGTGCGGACATACAGGTTCTGCTGTGGTCAACACTAAACAAAACTCTGTAACACAAATGATAAGGGAAGTTTAGGCTAACTCTTAAAAATAAACTTTACAATATCCTGATATGGTGTTTGCATGTCAACTTCTAAAAAGAAATCAAGTACTTGTCTCTTGTCTAGGGAGTTTGTGACTTTGTACATGCCTAGGATATAGGGAAAATGGCATGAGTAGCATTAATTACCCATTGCTTGTTGTTCAGAAGGAGCAGTGTGGCAGTGTCCTACTTGAATTAACTGAGTGACATGTTTCAGTTGATAATTGCAGGTCATTCAGATTGATGGGGTCTGGAGATATGTAAAGGCCAGACTAACTAAGGTTACTTTCCCTAAAAGGACATTAGTAAAGTAGAAGGGTTTTTAAAATAAGCTAACAGCTTCATGCTCGTCTTGACTGAACCTAATTTCTTGAATTGAATTCAAATTCATAAACTTGAATTTAAGATTTGAACTCCTCTTCTCTGGATTATAAATCCAGCAAAATAACTACGATATCTGTGCTGGATGCCATCCCTAAATATATCCTCTGAGCCGTGCCAATGCTTGTCTTCAATCAACTCTCACCTTGCCATCCATTTTTCCCTTCTGTGCAAAATCTATTGCCCTTATTCGATGCACCTTTTCACATGCTATTCAAAATGTCTCAATTTTTGTGCAGTCACTAGAGTGATTAAATATCATAGATTTTACTTTTACTGTGAAGCAACCTATTGAGTGCATTTTATTTGAAATCCAAATTCCACGATAATTATGTCAATTGTTTGTTGTAAATGGTACAAATCAAATTACCTCAGCTATATGTTAAGTGGCATGTCAAAACTGATCTGCTTTGCGTTTTACTTGATAGGCATCTTAATGTCAAAACTGGATGATGCTCAACTTGAAAGTATCACCAAGCAAAACACAATGTTTTGTAAAGAAAGTTCAGGATTAAGATCATCATATTATACGTTATAGCCCCAGAAGTAATATGACTGAAGTAAATTTGCTGCTGTCATACAGTCAGTTATAGATGGAGATGGTTGATGTAGTGCAATTACACCCAACCCCAGAACATTCAATGTCAAATCTTTAAGCTCGCCCATGCTTTTGTGTCAAAAGCAGAAGAGAAACCTAACAATGCCTTCGAACAATATCTAAATCAAAAACAAAATGATGCCAGGGCCCAGTATGACTTTAGGAGTTCAAGTGTTCCTGGTATTCTTTGTGATAGTTGGATTAGGTCTGATAAAACACCTAGTTGGCAACATCACCTACAACTCTCATTGGGAGAAAATGCTTATAGTTTTGGACAGTGCTTGTCTGAACCTAATTCTTGGCCATGGGGTTTATTTAGCCTTAGGGAGCAGTTTAATTTCGATAAATATGAGGTGTTGCACTTGGCAAATCAGGGCAGAACTTATACAGTTAATGGTAGGGCCCAGGAGATTGTTGCCAAATAAAGGGACTTTAGCGTGCAGGTCCATAGTTCCTTGAAGGTGGAATCACAGATAGGGTAGTGAAGAAGATGTTTGATACTCTTCCCTTATTGGTTTCAGTGCATTGAATAAAGAAGTTGGGATGTCATGTTGCAGCTGTACAGGACCTTGGTTAAGAGATAACAAGGTGTAGAGCTGGATGAACACAGCAGGCCAAGCAGCATCAGAGGAGCAGGAAGGCTGACATTTCTGGCTACAAGCTCTACACCTTGTTATCTCAGATTCTCCAGCATCTTCAGTTCCTACTATCTCAGGACCTTGGTTAGGCCTCTTGCTTAGGCATTCAATTCTGGTCTCCCTGCTATAGGAAAGATGTTGTCAAACTTGAAGAATGCAAAAAAGATTTACAATGATTTCACCGAGTCTGGAGGTTTTGAGTTTTAGGGAGAAGCTGAATAGTCTGGGGCATTTTTCCCTGAAGCATCAGGGGCTGAGGGGTGATCTTGTAAAGGTTTATAAAATCATGAGGGGCATGGATAGAGTGAATAGCCAAGATCTTTTTCCTCGGGTGGAGGAGTTCAAAACTAGAGGGCATAGGTTTAAGGTGAGAGGGAAAAGATTTAAAAAGGACATGAGGGGTAAGTTTTTCATGCAGAGGTTGGTGTGTGTACGGAAAGAGCTGCCAGAGGCAGTGGTGAAGGCGGGTATAATTATAACATTTAAAAGCATCTGGATGGGTACATGAATAGGAAGGGTCCAGAGGGACATGGGCCAAATACTGGCAAATGGGAGTAGATCAGATTAGGATGTCTGGTTGGTGCAGATGAGTCTGTCTGAAGGATCTATTTCCGTGCTGTATGACTCTTTGAAGCTATAACTCTAAGTGAAAGAAACCTATGAAGATTTTGGACAGAAACTGCCTGAGCAACATTGACTATAAAGAGATTTGTGGTGGAATTTGATGAGAAGTCTGGTGAGGCCATTCCTGACATCAGGAGCACCTTGCTGCATTTTTTTTATTTTTCAAAAGCTGCAACGCAGGTTTCTCACTAGGCAATGGCAAGTTATCAATTAAGGGGATTATTGCATGCTAAACACCTTGTTGACAGCTCAGCTAACTAATATTATTGTAGTTGTATTACATCATGAATATTCATCTTGCTGTCTTATCAAACTCACCAAACAAGCTAAATGTCAAGAAAAGTCTTCATGGAAGCCAGAGCAGGTGGATTCAGCTTGCCACTTGTACTATAAAACATCTGTGTTGGACACTGGGTACCAACATTTCAGGGCATGTACCATTGCCACTGGGCACATACACACCATGTTCATGGACATTGGCATTTGATATGTGGCACCTCTAAGCATCCTCATTCACAATCCATTTCAACGGTACTTCTACACTTCAAATTTGCATCTCGGGCTGCACATTATGGTGCTGCAACAAAGACACTGTACACTCAGGGACATGCATCCAGCTCATGGGACTGGACCAGGCTGTTTCTGAGCTCTTTGATTGCTATCATAGTGGTACCCATTACCAGCTTACCTGGGCACTCATAGCATCTCTGACTTGCCCTTTTGTGCGGTTCACCCTCTTCCATGGATACTGGCTCATGTTACCTTTGTCTTGCTTTACTGTTTAGTGCAGACACAAAGGAAGGAATAAACCCAGAAAGTGCGGGAGAAATACAGCAGCTCAGGCAGCATCTGTAGAGAGAAAAACAGAGTTAATACCTTGACCTTCAATACGTCTTCTTCAGAACTGTTTACACAGACTCAGGAAAACTGTCATGGTTGTCTGCAGGCCTCAAATCAAGCAATGGGAAATAGTGTTTGCTCCAGGCGTCTCCTGACAGCAAGTCAATAGCAGGCTCCAGAATCAGTCCAAATACTTGGAAATGGTCAATCAGTCAAGGATGGTCTCCACGTAAAGGGGGAGTAGCTGAACGTTAGGCAGCCCATCACCCGTCCTGAGTCTTACCACCCTTTTGGGGGCAGTTTTCTACCTGAAACAAGAGAGAGGGCTATTACAGGGAAGGAAAGTGGGTGGCACGGCTGGTATTTTTGGTGAGTAGGTACCACAGAGGGCATGTGGAGTTAGTGGTAGGAGGAGTGACAGCAAGTAAGGGAAGATGTTGCAGGTATTAGTGACAGCATTGGAGCTTTAGTTTGGGTGGGAGGTGGGTACAGTACCAGGGATAGAATGAGTGTGGAATATTGGAAAGAAGATGGTGACACTGGCAGACTGGAAGAATGGCATCGATCTTCTTTCCACACTGCTGTACATTCCTACAGATGGCTGTGTGAGTGCTGTAACATGGCTGGCAGTCTCAGACCAGGCTGGCATGGTCTGGTGTCTTGGCCTGCACTGTGGCTTCTGGTGCTACCTTTGCAATACCTAGTCTAACAGGAACTCCAGGTCCCTGTCCGTAATGTGGGGTGACTATTTCCCCCTGTAGACCAGGTCAAGGTAAATGTCAGGAACTGTGCAGGGCAGCTCTGGGCTGTCAGATGTCCAGGTTTTCAACAGCTTTCTGAAGATGGCGCAGGAGCAAGGGATGCCGGTGTGTACCAAGGTATTTGGAGAATGACAAGTTGATCTGGGAGTGACTTGTGGTAAGATGGGGCCGGAATGGGATATGAGTGGATGCCATGGTACAGGGTAGGTAGTTCATGAGGCGTCTGTGGTAAGATATGTCTAGAAAACTCACTAGACCTCACAATGGCTATCCCTCCTTAAAACCCGACTCTGCTTGGACTTAGCCAAAGGAATGTAAAATTCAGCCCTTTATTTCTGTGGTTGCTGGTGTTTTCACTTCTGCAGCGTTATTTTCTTAAAAGTTGCTAAAAGGAGACTAGAAGTTGAAACTTTACATCTTGCATTCATCAAATCAAGGATGCAAGAAACAGACTTGAAAAAAGATTATTCTGTGCAATAACAACACAAATGGTGAAATTAGCCTCACATTGCAGTGGAAAATTGCAATTTTCCCTTTGATTATAAATAAAAATGGATTATACTTCCCTTCATTGCTGAATGTCATCAGAATGTATTCATCCTGAAATTAAAGCATAAGAATTGACTTTGCACTCACAATTAACTGCACTACTAACATGACAAATTGCCTACATTGATAATAATTCAGTTCCCTCACATGTTGGTCTCATTGCTATAGCACAGTACAGTGCAAAGGAGATTGTCCAGCCCATTGTGCCCAAATAGCACTTAAATAGTGCAGTCCCAAAATTGTTCACTCTTATGTGTAAATTTCTCCGGTAATATCACCAACACTCAACAGAATTGTACAGGATGAAAATGATCTAAAAATTCATCCCAATTTTTCTTTAACTTTTGATTTTCTTTTAAGAGGGTTACTGAAGCTCTTTCTTATAACAGCGGTTCAAGGTGCAGTCGGTCACAGGAGTGTCTGTAGTGCTATCGGGCTATATGTCAGCTTCACTTCATGATAACATTGGTCTAATTCCTGTACTAGGTGTTTCAGCTCAGTTAACTAGCACTCGTCTGCGTTGCAACACATCTGTTGGAACCCCTTTCTGGATGGCCCCAGAGGTACGTAAGAAAACTCAAAGGACAGTCCCTAACTGCATCATTACCCAACCCTTGAGTGCTGGTTTCTCTGCATTAACATTTGTTCTTTTACTGAATTCAGAGCTTTTCATAATAATCATCTTCTACAGTTTATATATGTTTGAATGATGAACAAAATGCATCAGTTGGACAATATAATGTGGAGAGTCAAATACGTTCCCTCATGAGTGTGAATTAATGTAGGAACTAAAAGTGTCATTCAAGTGTCCTTTCATTTGGGGAAAAGGTTTTCAGCTACACAGTCTGGCATTTTGTTAGCTACAAGTCTTCTCCCTTCACTACTGACTTTAGATAGAGTGCTCAGGATTTGTTTGTGAGACAAACTGAAGCAGTTTACTCAGGCACAAAAAAACTCAGATTATCACATGCTGGAGTGCCAAACCAGATTTCAATAACATCTGTTGTCAAGTTTACTTTGTCACATTTCACTTTATCGGCTCAGGAAAAGGGGGAAAAAAGGACTTTACTTGTGTCCATTTTACACTGCTAGTCCAACCATAAAACTAACTACCTCACCCAATGAAAGACCATTTGAAATGTCCCAGGTAGGGCATAATTCAAATGACCTGAACATTTGACTTCGACTTCTCACAATGTTAGCTGGAGACTTCACTTCAATGTCTACCATGCACATCATCAAGACACAGAAGAAAACGCCTTTTGTATTTTGCATTTCCCTTGCAAACCTGAGATTTACAATATGGAATTCTACTGGTAAGCAGTCAATCATGATCATCAAAAGTGTAAAAGAGCAATTTAGAATTCATTTATATGGGCTCTCCCCAAAGCCAGGTCCGTGGTTCATTGTCTGCTGATGCTTCATCCTGAGCTGTTTCCTTTGCAGATTTTTTCATTGGTGATTAGTTATCACTCCAGTCTCAGGGACAGGGTCAGGACAGAGAAGCAGGTCCCAAGTGTTCCTCAACAGGAACTAGAATCAAATCTATGCCATTGGTTTTATTTGTGTCCACATCTAGCCAACTGAACAATAGAATTAAGGAGGGGAGGTGTGTCAAAGTGTTGATATTAATAACAAATGTGTTAAAATGTTTGTGAGAATTTCCTCTTAAGTGATTGTAATAAAGCTAGAAGCCCATTCAAAGCTTCATGATTTTGTTAAAAGTATCATAAAACATGCTAATTTGCCTTTCATTAATATGACACAGCATGATTTCAACCTCAATCAGAATTGACTTAATGATGTTTTTTTCTGGAAGAATTCCATTGGGATGCAAAAGTCCATCTTTCTTTCATAATAAATTAAAACAAAGAATTGTGGATGCTGGAGATCTGAAACAGAAAGTGCTGGAGAAACTCAACAGGTCTGCAAGCATCTGTGGAGCAAAAAACAGTGTTAACACTTCAAATCCAGTGACCCTTCTTTCTTTCACTTGGTTACACTTTATTTTATAATGCAAAACAGTGCAAAAATTTTTGAGCATTGAGAATATATTGTGTTCTTTCGTTATAGTAAGCCAGATCCATTAACAAAAGGCTACAGTATTTTATATAAATCAATATTAATCTAAATAGAAACCAGAGCAAAAAACTTACCTTAATCTGTAATCCATATTTAAATGCAACTGGGAATGCTAAACTGTACGACATAATTGAAGTTAATGGGACTGGAAATCATTTGGGAAAGACCTACCAATGCCACACACCCAGCCCTTAATAATAAAAAGAAGGGAAGTCAGGAATAATAACAGAAAATGCTGGAAACTAAGCTGATCTGGCAGCATTTGTGGAGAGAGAAACAGAGTGGAGGTCTCCAGTCCAAAGGTGCCATTTTGGAACTTTCATTTTAGTCTTTGGATTTGAATCATTTGCTCTGTTTCTTTCTCCACAGATATTTCCAAACGTGTTAGGTTTTTCAAACATTTTCAGATTTTGTCTCAGATTTCCAGCATCCACAGTATTTTGCTTTCATAAGAGAATTCAGGAAATTCCACAGTGAAGTTTGCCTCGAGGAACTGAAGTCATGAAATTCACAGAAAAGCATGTCCACTCAACATTGACTGGCCAGCACAATTATTTTGACAATGTGTCGTGTAAGTCATGTACAGTTGAGATTTTCTGAAGTATCATAGATGTATTAAGATCAATATTCCTTTGCTAATGTCATCTCTATCAATACTTGCTGGTAACAGAGGCTGTATATTTGATTTCCTGATGATCAGGTAATAGCATGTGAACAACAGCTGGATTCCAGTTACGATGTACGATGTGATGTTTGGTCCTTGGGTATAACAGCCATTGAACTTGCAGATGGTAACCCACCACTAACAGATCTACATCCAATGAGGGCACTTTTCAAGATACCCAGGTAATTCAATCTTGTGTGCATTAAGGTTGGCTTAACCTTTAAAGTTATATCCATGTTTAAAGTCTTTTCAGAAATTTGACAGCACAGTGGCTCAGTAGTTAGCACAGCTGCCTCACAGTGCCAGGGACCTGAGTTCAATTCCAGCCTTGGCCAACTGTATGTGTTTGTGTGGGTTTCCTTCGGGTGCTCCAGTTTCCTCCCACAGTCCAAAGGTATGTGGGTTAAGTGGACTGCCTATGTTACCTTGCCCCGTTGTGTCCAGGGATGTGTTGTTTAGGTGGATTAACCAGGAATGACAGGGATAGGGTGTGAGGATGGGTCTATTTGGGATGCTCTTCGGAGGGTCAAAGCAGACTTGATGGGCTGAATGGCCTCTTTCTGATTGAGGAGGATAGGATAGAGAGAATACTATGGAGCAAATCTATTTGGGCAGCACAGTGACTCAGTGGTTGGCACCGCTGCCTCACACTGCCAGAGACGCAAGTTTGATTCCACCTCCCGGTGACTGTCTGTGTGGAGTTTGTACATTCGCCCCGTGTCTGTGTGGGTTTCTGCTGGGATCTCTAGTTTCGTCCCACAATTCAAAGATGTGCAGGTTAGGTGGATTGGCCATGCTAAATTGCCCACATCAGGGATGTGTAGATGAGGTGGGTTACAGGGAACAGATAGGGGGATTGATCTGGGTGGGATGCTCTGAAGGTCCGTGTGGACTTGATGGGCCAAAGTGCCTGTTTCCACACTGTAGGGATTCTCACACCTTACACATTTTAAAATTTAACTTATCTACTCCTTGCCTCCATATTGACAGATGAACAATACTATAAAAAATGATTATTAAATTAGACTGGGGCTGACTTTCTTCTTCCTGTCACTCTCTCTCGCTCCTAGTTTTTGGTAACATATATTTAATGGACCTAAATAAAAGCAAAACACTGGGATGCAAGAAATCAGAAATAAAACAAAAACACACAAGAAACTCACTAGAGCTGGCTACTGAGTTTCTCCAAAGCTTTATAGTCTTATCCAAATGACTTACTGGAAACTCAGTCCAACTACTAATGTATGTTAATTGGAAATCTCATTTAGCTGCAACAGTAGGACTTTATTGTACAAGAAAAAGAAGAATTTTCACTGCTTCATATCGGTGATTAAAGTGAAGTGTTACTGGAGCCTAGCGTCAGAAGCATTCACTGTACATCAATCATGTTACTCACAGCATAGAAAAGCTCCCACTGATATCAAAAGCACAGAACCGTTTTTTTTCCCCTTTCACTATCACTCATTTTCAGGACAATTTCTCTCAATTTTTTTCCAAGCGTGAGCATGATTACCAATCTTATGTGGCTTTGCTTCATATACAGTCTGAAGGCAAAGTCTGGAAAAAGGATTTACAATGTACCCCCTGTTGCTTTACTTAATTTCCGGGCTTCAAACTATAATGAAATCCCTTGTCAATTTGAAAATACAACAGCAGTAAATTCCTTTCAGTATCCTAATATGTACAGATTGCTACCAAGACTTGGGTTTGCTCTTCAGGGATCTACAGCTGTCTAGTTCCATTTTAACAATCTTGTATATAATGCTTTTCACTCTAACTGCCAACACCATAAATGTTCCACAAAGCCTAGTTCCCCAGGCTGTTTCCAAAACCATGACAAGTTTGGAAATGCCATTTTTGCAGTTAAATGCACATGACAAGTGAAGTCTATTTTTGCTGACACAACCGGTGAAAAGAGCGAAGCAGAGGTCACGTTTTATTCTGGAATTCTTCATCAAAATACAGGAAGGTATTTGTAATAATCCCCTAGAGACCAACATGAAGATAGAAAATAGGAGAGAGTGCAGGCCATTCAGGTCTCAAGCCTGGCCCACCATCTGATAAGATCATGGCTAATCTCGTTATGTCCTTAACTGCATTTTCCTGCCTAATTCCGTTCCCCCACCCCCAAATCCCTTTAATGTCTTGTCAATCAAAAATCTGTTTAAATCAATCTTGAGTATATTCAATTATCCACCCTCCACTGCTCTTCTGAAAGATTTTAACAGGCCACAAATTCTCCACATCGCTGTCTTAAATGGAAGATTTCTTATTTTTAAAATGTGCTGCCTAGTTTTTGCCTCCCTCACAAGGAGAAACATCTTATATAGAGTCTAATATGATACTTCTTCAGAACTCAAGCTCAACTTCAAGCTTGACTCATTGAAGCTTAAGCACATGATTTTCAACTATTCTATCTAGCCTGCTCATGATTTTGAAGATGGTGAGGGATCTTGCTAGGGTGGGTGAAAAAAGAGTTGTGTGGGAGAATCTAGGACCAAAGGTCACTGAATAAAAATACATAGGTCACATATTGATGAAAGCACTAAGGAGAATTTTTTTTTCTCATTGAGGGTCGTGAGTCTTTGGAATTCTCTTCCTCAAAAAGCAATGGAGGTAAAGTCCTTGAAAACTGTGAAAGCAGAGGTACACAGATTCTTGACAAGCAAGGGGTTGTAAGGTTATCGGGGATAGGTGGGAAGGTTGGGTAATCTAATCAGCAGAAGACCTAAGTAATTCTACTTCTACCTCTAATTTATGTGAAAGTCTATAGGTTCATATTATCTTACAAATAGATAATAGATTTCGTACTCAGTGAATAAAGCTCTGCGTTCATAGTTTAGAACAGTTGAGTTGAAATTAATTTTACTGTAGAACTGCTTCATCCATTAGTATTTTAAATGATATATTTACATCTGTTTTTTACCAGTATTTATTAGTGCAGCACTGAATGATTGGTTGTGATTTTATTACTGTTTGATTTCAATAAATATAAGTTCTTTTGAAACAATGCACAACTAAACTTGTCTTGAGAAGAGAAAGAGGCAAAGCTTGCTAAATTATTATTACGATATCTCATCTGCATATTGAGTTTTCATTTGAGCTTCATTGTTATTTCACAGGAAAGAAATTAAGAAATGGTTTGTTAAACAATTCATTAGGAAGAATTTCCTTCCTAATGGGAAATGAAACTGTTAAATGGAATGTGGGTCATGTGGTTGTCAATCTTCAGTAGGGCCCTTGAAATCAAAATGACCAATTAAAATGTACAGGGAATTTTAAATTCAATTAGTGAAATAAGCCTGAAACACAAAGCTAGTATCTGTCATGGTGAGCCAAGAAACTGCCGGGTTATTGCAAAGACCAATTTAGTTCATAAATATCCTGCAGGGAAGAAAACCTTCTCTCCTTAACCAGTCTGGTCCAGATGGGGCTCTAGATCCACAGCAACATGGTGGAATCTTGACTGGTGTCTGAAGTGGCCAAACAATCCATTCCTATCACCACCTCCTTCTGAAGGGCAAGTAAAAGAACAAATAAAGGAACAAAAGAGAAGTACAGCACAGGAACAGGCCCTTCGGCCCTCCAAGCCTGTGCTGATCATCATGCTATAACTAAGCTAAAAAACATACCTTCTGCCCTTATTCGATCCGTGTCCCTCAATTCCCTCCCTATCCATGTAACCATCCAGATGCCTCTTAAATGTCGCCAATGTGCCCGCTTCCATCACCTCTTCTGGCAGTGTGTTCCAGGCTCCTACCACTCTCTGTGTGAAAAATGTCCCTTGCACATCTCCCTTAAACTGTCCCCCTCTCACCTTGAACCCGTGTCCTCTTGTAATTGAAACTTCAACCCTGGGAAAAAGCCTGTGACTATCCACCCTATCTATGTTTCTCATAATTTTGTAGACCTCTATCAGATCTCCTCTCAGCTGCCATATTTCCAGTGAAAACAATCCTGGCCTTTTTAACTTTTCCTCATAGTCAATGCTGTCGAGACCAGGTAACATCCTGGTGAACCTTCTCTGCACTCTCTCCAAAGCTTCCACCTCCTTCTGGTAATGTGGTGACCAAAATGACACACAACACTACAGTATAATTCACACCTAAATTTGATCCTCCAAAATACATCATCTCGCATTTCTCTGGATTAAACATCATCTGCCATTTCTGTGCCCAAGTCACCAATCTATCTATATCTTGTTGTATCCTTTGCAATCGTTAACACTATCAGCAGCTCCACCAATCTTCATGTCATCTGCGAACTTACTAATCAGACCAGCCACATTTTCCTCCAGATCATTTATATATACTACAAACCACAGAGGACCTAATATTGATCCCTGTGGAACGTCACTAGTTAACGGTCTCTATTCTGAAAAACATCCTTCCACCACTATCCTCTGTCTTCTATGACCAAGCCAGTTTTGAAACCATCTAGTCAGCCCACCGCGAATCCCACGTGATTTTAGTTTTTGTACCAATCTGCCATGTGGGACTTTATCAAATGCCTTACTAAAGTCCATATAAAATACATCCACATCCTTCCCTCATTAATTATCTTTGTCACCGCTACAAAAAATTCAATCAGGTTGGTGAGACATGACCTTCCCCATGAAAAAAATGCTGCCTGTCAACAACTAGTCCATTTTCTTCCAAATGTGTATATATCTTGTCCCTCAGTATCTTCTCCAAGAGCTTCCCCACCACAGGTGTCTCTTGCCAGCATCTCATAAATAAATGAATTAATTAATTAATTGAAAATTTCAAAATTGAAGTTGTTAACAGGTTAGGTAAGGTGTTAAGAATTAAGGTGGCTTGTTGGAATTATGATACAGGTCAGTCATGATCTAACTGAATTGTATAAAAGGCCTGAACAGGATCGAAAGGTCTGTCTCTGTCCACAGGCTCCTCTGAGTCAATAGTCAAACTATCCTTTAGTCCTCCATGCAGTTGCAGTTGCTGAGCTGCAAGGGAGACAGACATTCACATTCCACTGTCTTAAAGGTCTGACTACATGAAGAAAGACTGCAGAAATTTGAGGGTTTTAGGATTGTAAGCTGGCTCCAAGAGCTGATCAATTGAAAGGATATAAGATTATAAATAATATTGTAAAGTATACCTGTGAAATTAAATTAAATTAAATTGTATTGTGTTATATTAAGTGACTCTAGGACAGAGATTTAAAACAGTCCAATGGAAGTTTAGGGCCAATATCAAAAAAATCTTCTCCACATAATGACCTTTGGATAGACAATGACACTGAAAATTCTGGTATCATTTAAGAACCAACTTGATTCTGCAATGAGAGTTCTTTAGGGCGTTTCAGAATAGATAAGCAAAATAATCCAAATGACCACCTTCTGAAATTAGATTGTGATCATAACGCCATGACAACGACACTGTAGCCTGTTGATAGCCCTAGTTCCTTTTGAGTCACTTGTTACACCTTCACCTACTTAATAGTAGGACACTATTTAAATGGGCCCGGACACACTGCAACACTCCAGAACTATGCAGGAAAGAGGAAGAACACTTATACAAAATCATCGCTATGAACAGATATCCCTGCAACCTCATCCGCAGATGCCTACAAAAGAGACAACAACAGGAGGACACAGTACGACCTAACACACTGGCAAAACTGCCCTACATCAAGAACATATGGAACTGATAACAAGACTCCTATGACCACTAGGAATCATGGTGGCCCATAAGTCCACTGCCACGCTACGACAAATACTTACAAGGATTAAAGACCCCATTCCCACAACATGCAGAATGAACGTGGCTTGCAAAATGCCATGCAATGACTGCCATAAACATTATATCGCACAGACAGGAAGGAAACTAGCCATTAGAATACATAAAAATCAACTAACAGCAAAACGGCATGACAAACTCTCCTTAATATCGGTACACTCAGACAACGAAGGCCATCAATTTAACTGGGACAAAGTAACCATAGTAGCCCAAGCCAAACACAGACACGCACGGGAATTCCTAGAGGCATGGTTCTCCACCCATACTTCAATCAACAAACATATAGAATTGAACCCCAGATACAAACCCATACAGATCAAAACCGGAAATGATAGTGCTCACCATGATGAGCCAGACAGTATAAGTTCCAAGCAGAGTAGAATAACATCGCTTCATCGGAGGATCCACTGCCGATGTCACCTAGCATGGTGACGAAATGCCTGAATAAAAACAAGCCAGCTCGGCAAGCAAGTCAACAACATCATCCACAACCCGAGCTACAGATCTTTGCCAAAACTTTAAAGAACAATTATTATAATGCCAAATCAGTGAGAATCTTGCATCATTTCACATAGTATGGGTATTTAATGGCTTTATTTTAATAAATGAGTAAGTACATAATAATTTCCTATTTGTTACCATTGAACATGTTGATTCATTGTCACACTATACTATGTTGTTCAATCATAACTAAAAATCAATTAGGTCTCTTCTGCCTTCTTCCTTTCCAAAGAAGTAAGGAAAGAAGAAAATCTCTTTCATGACACCAGTATCTCTATAAAGTTATTTTGATAAACACTACAGCCTTGATTCAAGCTGCAGTTAAATGCAACAGATGTTTGCAGGCAGCATTGAAAGCCATTTTCACAGTTCAATATAAAATCCAAGAGACTGTGGTAAGCAAGACATTTTAACTATCCACAGCAGTTAGCAGTAAATCATTGAAGATTAATATCATTAGTCACTACCTTAATACCATATTAAATAGAACAGTTACTGTTGCAATGTCAGATGTCCTTCTGTAGTTAAAATGACATCAGAACTACTGAAAATAAAGTAATTCTATGATAAGGACATATCATTTATTTGTGCCTTTAGAAAACCACTTAACCTGCAGATATATTTGATTGGAGATTAATAGACCATCAACTGCAGCTACATTCCAAAGACATGCATGAGCAACAGTGGTGACAAAAACTATATTTGGCTCTCAATGACTGCGTATCCTTAGGCTTATACGTCTGCGTGGATGGCATATAGAATAAGACACAAATGAAGTATAATTGCACTAATGACTAAGTCCTTTAAGCTGCTGAGTCAATTATTTTGTAATGATCCTTGTAGACATATTCTTTATAATTGCATTTTTCTGAATTTTACCACTTTGAAAATTTGAATCTCTGTTTATGCTTCTTTCCTCAGAAATCCACCTCCAAAACTGCATCAGCCGGAGCTGTGGTCAGAAGAATTTAATGATTTTATTGCCATGTGAGTGATTTTATTAGATCTCTGCAATTCTCATAGAGGTAAAGGGTGACACCCTCAAAACATAATCCATACAAGACACCACACATAAGCAATGTGTATCATTAGAGTGTAAAAAAACTTCATTTCAGTAACAAAGCTTCCTTTGCACTAAGGATTCATTAAACATTTACTGCCAATTCTAGGTTTTGCATCCTTCCGTATCATATTCTTTCTTTCTCAGCCTTAACAATTCTGTTTTACACAGAGAAACACAAGACTTAGGTATAGCAGACACCCTGGCAAGCCTGCTTTGTCATTCCAAAAGATTGTGGCTGATCTTCTATCTCAACACCATTTTCCTGCACTATGCGTATTTGCCTTGATGTTGTTAATGCCTAGAAGTAAAACTTTGTACAGATACTGAGCACTGAGGTATCGATAAGTTACTGAAACTTGTATCCTCATAGTATGTGTATATGCTGTACATATACACATGGTAAATACATCAGTAAGCTTTGCATGGTCAGGAAGGAGAGATCCCATTCAGTGTGAGATACAGTCCGAATGAATATATAGTTTGGGAGCAAAAACTGAAATTGCTGGAAAAGTTCAGTAGGTCTGGCAGGATCTGTAGACAGGCATTAGAGTAAATGTTTCAGGTTAAGTGACCCTTGCTCAGAACAGATCTGAGGGAGGGTCACTTGACCTGAAACATTAACTCTGATTTCTCTCCACAGATGCCGACAGACCTGTTGAGGTTTTCCAACAATTTCTGCTTTTGCTTCTGAACTGCCACATCTGTACTTTATTCGGTTCTTATACAGCTTGGGGAATTTGGTGGCAATGTGGGAATTCAGTGCAGAAGGGAGCAAGAAGCTTTTTGCTTGCTTTTCTCTTGGCTCTTAATTTGTAAGGTTTTTAACAGACTAACTGAAGCACAGGGTCAAGGACCCAGCACAAGAGTGACATCACATGTAAACTGTAAGTCCATTGGTTGGGGTTAGCTGCTAATCTCACTATCTGTTATAGGTTACTTTCCGATTGAAGGTAAATAGGGGAAATATTTGCAGGCTACAAACTAAAAGACCAGTGTGATTTTTTTAAAAATCAAATTAAGAACTAAGTCATTAAAATAGAGATGCTAGGCCAGGAAATCGTTTTAACTGCAATGACATGGGAGCTGGTGGACCCCATTATGGCTCGTAGTGACCACATCTGTAACAAATGATGGTTGCTTGAGGACCTCCAGCTCAGAGTTGAAGGGCTGGAGTCTGAGCTTCAAACACTATGACACATCAGGGAGGGGGAGAGTTACCTGGACGCTGTGTTTCAGTAGGCAGTCACACCCCTTAGATTAACTACCTCAAATTTACTCAAAACGTCAACTTTCCTGCTGCTCTGATGCTGCCTGGCCTGCTGTGCTCCTTCAGTTCCACACTGTGTTATCTCTGACTCCAGCATCAGCAGTTCTTACTATCTCCAAATTTAGTTAATTATTTTTAATCATTTCTGGGATGTGGGCTTTGCTGGTGGGGCAGCATTTATTGCCCGTCCCTAGTTACCCTTGAGAAGGTGGTGGTGAGCTGCCTTCCAGAACCGCTGCAGTCCACCTGTTGTGAGTTGACCCACAATGCCATCAGGGAGGGAATTCCAGGATTTTGACCCAGGGACAGTGAGGAAACAGCAATATATTTCCAAGTCAGGATGGTGAGTGACTGGAGGGGAACTTGAAGGTGGTGGTATTCCTATGTATCTGCTGCCCTTGTCCTTCCAAATGGAAGTGGTCGTGTCTTTGGAAGGTGCTGTCTGAGGATCTTTGGTAAATTTCTGCAGTGCTGTTACTGAGTGTCGGTGGTGGAGGGTGGATGTTTTTGGACATAGTGCCAATCAAACGGGATACTTTTTCTTGGATAGTGTCCAGCTTGTTGTGTATTGTTGGAGCTGGACGCATCTAGGCAAGTGGGGAGTATTCTGTTACACTCCTGACTTGTGCCTTGGAACATAGAACAGGACAGCAAAGTACAGGCCCTTTGGCCCACGATGTTGTGCCGAACTTTTACCCTAAACCTCTATCTAACCTCCACCCCTACCTTATACTATCATCCATATGCCTACTAATAGCCGCTTAAATGCCCCTAATGAGGCCGACTCCACTACCCTCTCCGGCAATGCATTCCACACCCTACCACTCTCTGAGTAAAGAACCTACCTCTGACCTCTCCCCTATATCTACCTCTACTCACTTTAAAACTATGCCCCCTCGTAATAACTACCTCCACCCCAGGAAAAAGTCTCTGGCTGTCTAATCTATCTATACCTCTGATCATTTTATACACCTCTATCAAGTCACCTCTCATCCTTCATCGTTCTAAAGAGAAAAGCCCTAGCTCTCTCAACCTTTCCTCGTAAGACCTTCCCTCCATTCCAGGCAACATCCTGATAAATCTCCTTCGCACCTTTTCTAACACTTCCACATCTTTCCTGCAATGAGGTGACCAGAACTGGACACAATACTCCAGATGAGGCCGAACCAGGCTTTTGTATAGCTGGAGCATAACTTCACGGCTCTTGAACTCAATCCCTCTATTAATGAAAGCTAACACACCATACACCTTCTTAACAACTCTATCCACCTGGGTGGTAGCTTTCAGGGAACTGTGAACATGAACCCCAAGATCCCTCTGCTCCTCCACACTGCCGAGAATCTTTCCGTTAACCCTGTATTCTGCTTTCAAATTTGTCCTTCCAAAATGAATCACCTCACACTTCCCAGGGTTAAACTCCATCTGCCACTTCTCAGCCCAGCTCTGCATCCTATCAATGTCCCTTTGTAACCTAGAACAGCCCTCCACACTATCCACAACTCAATCCACCTTCGTATCGTCCGCGAACTTACTAATCCACCCTTCCACTCTTACATCCAAATCATTTACAAAAATCACAAATAGAGGAGGACGCAGAACAGATCCTTGTGGTACACCACTCGTAACTGAGCACCATGTTGAATATTTTCTGTCCACCAGCACCCTTTGTCTTCTGAGTGTCAGCTAATTCTGAATCCATTCTGCCACATTTCCCCCTATCCCATGCCTCCTTACTTTCTGCATGAGCCTACCATGGGGAACGTTATCAAATGCCTTACTTAAATCCACGTATACCACATCCACTGTTCTACCTTCATCCACATGTTTGGTCACCTCTTCAAAGAATTCAATAAGATTTGTGAGGCATGATCTACCCCTCACAAATCCATGCTGACTATCACGAGTCAAATTGTGCCTATCCAAGTGATCATAAATCCTATCTCTCAGAGCCCTTTCCAATAATTTGCCCACCACTGAAGTAAGACTAACTGGCCTGTAATTTCCGGGGTTATCCCTATTCCCTTTTTTGAACAAGGGATTTGCCTCCCTCCAATCTTCTGGCACTATACCCGTGAACAGTGAGGATGAAAAGATCATCGCCAAAGGCCCTGCGATCTCTTCCTTCGCTTCCCATAGAATCCTTGGATAAATCCCATCAGGCCTGGGGGACTTATCTATCTTCAAGTTCCTCAAAATTCCTAGTACATCTTCCTTAATAACATTGACCTCCTCTGGCCTACCAGCCTGCTTCACACTGTCCTCCTCTACAACTAGGTCCCTCTCAGTTGTGAATACCAAAGAAAAGTATTCGTTAAGGGCCTCTCCTATCTCTTTAGGCTCCGTGCACAAATTCCCTTTACAATCCTTGAGCGGCCCTACTCTTTCTGCAGTCATTCTCTTATTCCTTACGTATGTGTAAAAAGCCTTGGAGTTTTCCTTGATCCTATCTGCCAAGGTTTTCCAATGCCCCCTTATAGCTCTCCTAAGCCCTTTCTTCAGCTCCTTCCTGGCTAACTTGTATCCCTCTAGAGCCTTTTCTGTTCCTAGTTTCCTAACCTTTATATAAGCCTCCTTCTTCCTCTTAACCAGTCGTTCGACCTCTCTCGAGAACCCCGGCTCCTTCACTCGACCGCATCTTCCTTGCCAGCTAGGGGCAAACATATCGAGCACACGCAGTATGCATTCCTTCAACAATCTCCACATTTCAATAGTGCTCTTCCCTGACAACATCTCTTCCCATTTTATGTTACCCAGTTCTTGTAATTACCCTTCCCCCAATTATAAACCTTACCCTGCTCTATGTACCTGTCATTTTCCATGATTATTGTAAAAGTAACAGAGTTATGATCGCTACTGCCAAAATGCTCTCCTACCAACAGGTCTAACACTTGGCCCGGATTATTGCCAAGCACCAAATCCAAAGTGGCCTCTCCTCATGTTGGTCTATCTACGTACTGTGTCAGGAATCCTTCCTGAACACATGGACAAAATCCACTCCATCTTAACTATTACAACTAAAAAGTTTCCAATCAATATTTGGAAAGTTGAAGTCACCCATGACTACAACCCTGTGACTTCTGCATCTTTCCAGTATCTGCCTCCCAATCCACTCCTCCACTTCTCTGCAACTATTAAGGGGTCTGTAAACAAACCCCAATAAAGTGACTGCTCGTTTCTTGTTCCTGACCTCAACCCAAACTGACTCTGTAAACATATCATTCTCGAACTGCCTTTCAGTAGCTGCTATACTAGCCCTGACTAGCAATGCCACTCCCCCACCTCTTTTACCACTCTCCCTATTTCTTTTAAAGCATCTAAATCCCAGAACTTCCAACAACAATTCCTGTCCCTGAGTCCCTGAGATGGTGGGCAAGCTTTGGGGAGTCAGGAGGCGATTTTACTTGCTGCAGTATTCCTAGTCTCTGACCTGCTCTTGTAGCCACTGTATTTATCTGGTGAGTCTAGCTCAGTTTCTGGTCAGTGGTAAATCCCATGATGTTGATAATAGGGGATTCGGTGATGGTAAGACCATTGAATATCAAAGTGCAATTGTTAGATTGTCTCTTAATGGTGATGGTCATAGCCTGTGGTGTATGTGTTACTTGCCACTTGTCAGCCCAAGTCTGGATACTGTCCTGATCTTGTTACATTTGAACA